GAGGCGTTGTGATGAACACTTTTATTTACAAATATAATTAAAAGCTCTGACAGTTATTCATGCTCTTCCTTGGAACCTGAAAAATGTTTTTTTGTTGTTTTCTTGGGGTTTTTTGGGTTTTTTTGTTTGTTTTGTTGCTTTTTTTTTTAAAGTGCATGCAAAAGAAGTAAAGCCTTTTTTTTTAATCTTTTTATTGTAAGAAAATACACAGTTTGAAAGTGTGAATAATGCAGTATTTATGACCAAGATCATGGGGTTGGGGGTGGACTCGGGGGAGGAACGAAACCAAAAGAAAAAGAAAAAGAACAGAAAGAAAAGGGCTGGGGATGATCTGACAGACAGCGTTGGACTGCAAGTACTGCACCGGAGAGGGGCAGGGGCTGGGAGCAGGAGGGAGGCGGGGAAAGAAGTAAAAAAATTTTTGATCAGAGAAACAGTTAAAATACAATATGAAAATAAGTAAAAGCTCTCCTTAAATTCCTTCTATACACAAAATACACGATTTGACAAAGCCCAATTTGTGCTACTGGGATCCCGTGGGCTCATTTAAGTGTATTCCCATTCTCTGCGACAGCAGAAAATGATTATGATACAATCAAGAATATGCCGAGGAGCGAGGTCTCGTCCCGCCTCGCCCGGCACGGTTCTTCTAAAAATCACCACAGCTTCGCCCGCCCTCCCCACCCCCAAAAAAGTAAGAATATGTCACCACTGATATGTACAGCACGATTAAGGTTTTTTTTTTTTTTATCTGTAAAATGTATCAAATTTCTCAATCTTTAATAAAATTTTTTTTTATTATTTAATTATTCCTGATGAATAAATACCAAAAAAATAAAAATAAAATAAAGTTATGCAGCAGCTAGTTAAGGTAAGGCTGCGGATTTAGTCTCTCTCCCCCTGGGTTCGTATATAGCATTTGATTGGTATCTTTTTTGCTCGTACTTTCATCGATTGGTGGTAAAATGAGTGATTGCTCAAAAGCAACAATACATCCACTTTGTGGTTGGTTGGGTTTTTGTTCTCCATTAAAATTGTCTCCAAAGTTTTCACTGAAACATTTTTAATCATTGCACAGAGACATCAATACTGTGACATACTATGGAAAAGACCGCCAGGAGCTGTCCTGCACCGGGACTGACACAGGGGGAAAGGGGGCCCCTGATGGAGTAAGAATATACAGGCACTAGTCCGACACGATGTCAGTAAGAGAGACAGAAAGAGAGAGAGCACGCCCGTTAACATGGGGAATGTTGGGTTTGCAAGTTTTGTCATTGTTTTGTTTGCTTTTTGTTTTTGTTTTTGTTTTTTTAATGGCAAAGAAATCTAATCTCATCTATAGTCCTCCTTGGGATATTCTAATGTGACCAAATTCCCAAAGCCCATTCGCAAGCTCTCCATGTCAAACGTCTCGATCTCTCGCTCCTGCCTTTCCAACAGAAACTTTATCCTCTCGCTGCGTTCCTTCTGGAGGGCGGCGAGCTCCTCTTCGATCTGAAAGAAGCACGGGCAGCAGCCCCTTAGCAGAGCGCAACCGCCCCGTGTTCAGCAGCCCCCGACGCCTCCGAGGTGGGACCGAGGTACACCCGGCAGCCCCGCACCACGTACCTTTTGTTCCAGATGTGCCCTGCGCAGCGACACCCGTTGCTCCAACTTCTGGAGTTCTCTTTCGTGCTGTGCTTCTGTCTGCATCTTTATTTTGCTCTGGTACGCGTTGAGCAGCTCCATCTCCTGCTGGAGCTGCAGTCTGAGGGCTTGGCATTCTGCTTCTTGGGCCTCATCCAGCCGTAGCTGTAAGACGACGGGGAAAACAACATTTAAACCTCCACCCGGAATTGCTCTGCTCCGACACCAGCGACGCGCTGCTGTTCTCAAAGCCGGGGAGCCTCTGGTGTTGAGGAGGCGATCCCAAAACCCCAGCATGCAAGGGGCAGCAGGAAAAAACCAAACATGTTCCATGGGATTCTTATTACAAGAAGGGAAAGCGTCACACGATGCACTATTTAAAACAGTTGTGACAAGCACAACCACATCGCTGACCATCTAGCAGTGAGGACAGGAAGACCACAGCGTGCTGCAAGGACCGACAGCCCGACTGTACCCCACCTCCACGCACCTCAGTCAGGGACCCCCATCCAGGGACAGGAGGAGCCAGAGGCTGCACCTACCGCTTGTGAGGCCATCATCTCGTTGATGCTCTGCTCATACTGCTCTGCCAGGATGGCGAGCTTCCTCGTCTGCTCGTCCTTCAGACTCTTCAAAATCGTCTTGTGCTCACTCTTTGGAGTTACTTCCAGCTGGTGATTCTTCAGTGCTTTGTACTGCTTAGTTTGCACTTTGCATGTGTCCTGGAACTGCTTTTTGATCTGCATTTCCATAGCCTGCCAAGGAAGGAATGATGTGAAGCTCACGGAGAGCTTTGGGAATGGAGAGGTCATAGCACATCCAAACAGATGGGTTGGTGGGACACAACCACAGTTCCCCTGTGCTCTGTGCCATCTCCTGCCCCTGCACCCGGGTGAGCAGGGTGTGCTCTGCACACACTGCAACCTGATGAGCAGCATCAGCTCAGCACTGACCACCGGCCTGGGCCAGAATAGGATCCACCGAGCCCTTTCCCATCGCCTGCCCCTGCTTCCTGCAGGTCTCCCAGCCCGTCACCCCGCCGCAGCTTCCCAAAAAGCACTAGCTTTTTCAAGGCCTCCCATGCTGCTGCCTCTCCTCCCGTGACCGTGTGCTACACAGAAGCTGCAGATCTGAGAACTAACAAGGATGTGACAGGGTGTAAAAGCAACACACTTTTTTGGATGTTCAGGGGAGGAACAGAAATCTCCCCCAGCAAGCAGCTCAGAGGTTTCTATCAACCTGCAGCCCAACTGGGACAGAGCACAGTGCTCAGCACACCCATGTCCTCTCTCTCTGCTGACTTTGAGGAACCATCACCCAACCCCTTTCCATAGTGAGGTTTGTAGGGCAACATCAGCAAGGGTCAGAAGAAAGCACAGCTCATCCGAAGCACATTTCATAATACTTTGTTAGGGATTCGCCTATTTTTACCCAGCAGCCTCAATAAGCACAGCACTTAAAAAATCCTCAGGGAGCTCTCTGCTGGAACAGCCCACGAGCTTCTCATCCCAGAACAGCCCTGCGCAAAGGAGAGGGGTGCAAGGGAAGGCACGCAGGGCTGGTGGAGAGCAGCGGTTCTGCAGCACAGGTGCTGCACGGAGGAGGCAGCAAGCACACAGAGCAGCCTGCTTGGCAGGACAGAGGTTGGAAGAGGATGAAGGAAAGCTGCCAGCACCTTCAGGTTCTTTGGTTGCTGCCGGAGCTCCATGAAATGCTTCCTGTGCAGCTCCCGCTCTCGCCGCTTGTTGTATTCCAGCTGGTTCTCGAGCTCAGTCTGGTGCTGCAGCCGGATCAGGTCCATTCGCAGCTTCTGCAGCGTGTGCAGCTGCCTGTACTCCAGCTCGCGCGTCGACTCATCGTGCCGGATCAGCATGGCGTGCTCCATTTCCTTCTGGGTCCGCTTCTTGTTTAACTCCTGCACAAGGGGACAGAGCACAAAACAAACGCTGAGGAGTGATTCTCTGTGCCCCGAGATGCAGCAGTTGAGGTTGCGAGGCCGGGTGTTGTGGATGCAGACATGCAGTAGCAAGAACTTCCCTTGCTTCTCTCTTGTCCCGTGTGAAACTTTTCCCTCTCACAGAAGCTATCAGTAGTGTTATTGTAAACTAAGAACACCTGCGAATTGTTTATGGTATAGTAGAAAAATGTTCTCAGGATGGATGTTTTAGGATTTCAGCCAATCACCCCAGGCGGGGTGGCTGACCTCTTGACCAATTAGGCTATGAAGAAAAAAGTCTATAAAAGAGTTGTTAAATAATTAAATAAATCACTATTGCTGCACCATTCCTGCCTGCCGGATTTCTCTCTTCTCCCCTCTACTACTGCGGGATACGGCGATAGGGTGTCTCAGTCACTCCTCTAGACAGCACTAAGGACTTCCATGTGCTACAGGGAAGCAGAAACCCAGCAGCACGATGGGAATGCTGACAGTGGCCACCGAGCATCCATCCATCCATCCATCCATCCATCCATCCATCCCCTGTAACCTGCTTCTCTGGATCAGCCAGGGAGTCTCCAGCAGGTGGCACTGGGAGCACACACAAGCCCTCTGTGACTGCTGAGAATGGCTGAGTTTTCAATAAATACATCCTGGGGTCCTCAAGAGCTGGGGAGACTGACAGAATTGGGGACTCTTATTCATCTGTTTAAAGTTACCCTTAGTCCCTGCTAGACCTTGGGAGATGAGGCTTCTGCACATAAAACTGCATGTTTTGAGAAAGGATACAGCCTGAGCCTCGCACAATTTTGCAATGTGCACATGAGAGCTCCTTCACATGGTGCCCTGCAGTCGAGGAAAACCTTCATTAAATTACAGACCAAAGAAGAGGAAGGTACCAGATTCTCTCCCTGATTACTGCTAAAATTTCTGTCTCGAGATATCAGCAACAACCTGTGGAGCACGGAGCTGAATGCAGCTCAGTCAAGCAGTGATTACAGCTGTACCCCTTGCTGGTATTCGGTGACCTTCACAGATGGTCTGCTGGTACGCCTCAGTTTCAGCTCCCAGGTTTACAAACTCATTGCTATCCTTCACCAGGACAGGCACGGTGGGGCTGCCTCGCACTGTGCACTCCTACAGTGCCCACCAAGGGGAGGGCCCGGTGTTGGCTCAGTCCAACGAGTTTTCTGCAGTAGAAGCACAAAACCCCCCTAATTATTCTGAGTTGTTGCTTGCACGTTGTGATCCTGCTGTGATTCTCAACATCAGCACCTACAAACAGGCACTTCAGCCCCCTCGGCTGTTACAGCTGTGACAGGTTTAAGCATAATTATTAGAAATTTTTGATCACTTACTCTCAGTCTCTACTAAAATACCTTCTCATCTGACAGTCTTTAACCAAAAAGACCATTCATGAAGAATTCAGAAACTACGGAGACTACCATAGAAAAATCTACGGGTAATAATTCATTCCCTAAAGTGGTGTTTGACTGCAGGCAGCTGTAAGGCAAGGGTTAATAACTAATGAGGAAGTGCAAGACCTTGATTAACTTCTCATTAACAAACTATCGCCCGTTTTGTGCACTGATTCAAACACAGCCCAGTGGAAAAGCAACATCTGATTACTTGTGGACAACCAGCACGCAGACACAAGAGAGGACTGAGTTTTTGGTGTTTCTTACATTTGTAGCATTTAACTCTGCAAACTTAATATTGTTCTTTTAAGGTTATTACTGGCTTATTACACCCGTTTCAGCTGTGTACGTTCTCTTTAGCCAACAAGCAAAACTCCTGACATGATGCCCTTTCAGCCAGCCCACGGGTGGCCCTGGCACTCGACATGGCCCCAACTGCCCCCAGAATCCCCCAAAATCTAATGCCCAGCTCAGATGAAGCACCTGACCCAGAGTGGGTGGCCCACATAATGTTTCTGTCTGCAAGTCAACTATGCCAGCTCTCCTCAGTTAATAAAAGCTGTCACATCTGTGTGGAAAACAATTTCCCAAAACACTTTTCCTACATTCTTCTCAGTTCTGTTTAGCAACCGGAAACATGAAGATCTAATGCAGCCAGCAAACTGTTTTACAGCCATGAAGCTAAAACATCTAAAGAAGTGCTTGGGAAAGGAAGTGAAGAGTGCCATACTTCCCGAATGTTCTGCTGCTCCATCTCGTGCCTCTTGATCATCGTTTTTCTCTTGAAGAAACGGCAGTTTTTGTCGTAGTAGAGTCTCTGCTGGCTGAGAAGATGGGCCTCCTCTTCAGCCTGTGTGTGCTGCAGGTTCTCTTTGTGTTTGGATATTCGCTCTTGCTTCTCTTTCTTCGGCGTGCTGTGGTCCTCATTCATTTCCTGCGTGCACACAGGGTCAGAAACAAGACTTCCCTTAGGATGGCAGTGACAGAGGACTGGTAAAGGAGTCCAGCTTGGGCTTCAGTTTCATTTGAACAGGACTCATGCCCAACTCTCTATCGAATCAGATACCTAACAGGGCTCCTTGCTGTTCATTTTCTCACCTCCATATTCTTAACAGCAAGTGATTTTGTGATGCGATGGGGACACTGTACTTAATTAGTGCAATTTGGGATAGATAAACCATGTACTAAGTTAGTTCTTGTTCTAATTCATACGAGTGGTCACAGGGCGTTAAGTCAAGTGACATCAAAATGGCTGCTCTGATTACTTACAGCTTAAGAAAAAAAACAACCAACAAACAAAAAACAAACAGATGAGAAAAAGCCAAAGAAAAATCTCTATGAAGTCCCACTTCCCCTCATCACCCTTAGCTTCAAAGATTCTGCTCTGTAGCAAATTGGGAAGGCACCTCTAGCACCCTTGCAGATGATTCTAGAAACGCTGCCAGATGCTCCCAGTGTCTGAAAGTTCACTTGCTGAGAATCTAAATTTGCTTCCAAGCATGACAGCACCCCTTAAACCCCTGGGCTGGCCCAGGTTTATCAAAATGAAAGTCTAGTTCGTGTTCATTCCACACCCCTTCAGCCCTGAAAATGATGGTTTCTTGCCTCTTTAATCTTTTCCTTGCAAAGCTTGTATTGTTTCTTCTGACTTTCTAAAAAGGTCGCCAGGTCTTTCTTTTGCTGAGCCAAAATCTGTTGCTGGAATTTCTTTTCATCTGCTGCAGCTGCCTTTGCCTGCAAGGCACAGAGAGAAGAGGGAAAAAAGGGAAAAAGAAGAAAGGGTGAGGGAGCAGGTACTGAATTCAGCACAAATCAGTCTTTTTCGGGTCTGTCATTCTCCCATCACTGTCCTAGACAGAGCACACAAAGCTGCTTGCACAAAAACCCCACAATGCCCACATCCATTTAGGAGTTTCCTCATGCTTCTTTACCTCTCCACCAAAACCACCACAGAGGGTCACACCCCACTAGTTTACTGTGTGGGGTAACATGTTCCTTTTTAAACAGACTGTGTAACAGCAGCAAGTTTTACCATTCCCTCAGCCATGATACAGAAGCCCCTCCAAGGTCTCTCCACAGTTTGTCCACCTCGTAGCCAGCTCTCAGTAGCTCCAGCAGTGGGTGATGCCCATGCAGTGCCCACCACCCAGAAGGATGACTTGTAGCCGTGAAGCTATTTCACCAAACTGGCCGGGGCAGCTCTGGACAGTCACCACACAACGTACTTAAGAACATGGGTTTTAAGCAGCACTTCCACAGCCTTCTCATTCATGTTTATAA